TTAACGGAATAAAAATAAATGTCAGTTTGGTCAATAATATAACCTGTGTTAATTTTTCACTGACAAAACAAAGAATTTTGAAAAAATTAATTTACAAGTATATTCACAATATTTACATTCTCATTCCAAGAAATATCAATGCAGTTGTATTATACACACAATTAAGGTCGATACCAACCTTTTTACTGTGACAATTATTTAAAGAAAAAAAAATGTCATATAAAAAAAGATTTACAGAAGAAAGATGTTATTTTCAATCCATGTCGCTGTCCATGTCCTCAAGAACTGAAAAGTCTTTCAACTTAGCTCAAAGAAATGTCATAAAAAAATGTCATGAAATGTCATTTTCAAAAATGCACTTGAATTAAGCGCAATTAAAAGATTGTTGTCACGTTACCATGGGTTACCATCTACACTTCGCGATGACAGCGATGCATGGTGACAACGCCGTGAAATAAATTGTTCCTTGCTAAAACGACCATCCCCCACCACCAAAATCGGTCTGAGTTTCCAGACCTGTGTGTAAGACCGTGATATAGACAGAGTGCATTGGCGAGATCATTGAGTATACTAAAATAAGCTCCATCAAGCATCTTTGAAAGTAATTCAATTATTTTGTTTTTTAGTGCGTATTTTCTTAATGTGAATCATTATAGCAATAAAGCTTTTCCGACAATTACGTTCCGCATCAAGGATTTTTATATATACATTGAAACTTAATTATTCTTTGATTGGAAAAATATAAATGTATACTAGAATTTCATTCTATCACTGTGCTCTGAAATACCGGATGCCATTTAATTTTACTTAATATAATGTATAAATAAATAAATTAACCATACGTATATAATTTACATACAATATATACATATATGTGTGTGTATATATATATATATATATATATATATATTTACATTTGTGTCCACTAGTTCTGCAAATCAGAACTAATTCAATACATCAGAAGATCACAATAGAAAGTTACAAAGCAATTTTGCGTATCGATACCACATAATGAATTTTAGGTAGAGGAAAGTCCCCTATTATGAGATACCACATCTATTTTGTGTGAAAATTAGAAAATTTAAATTATTAAATATGTGAAAATTAGAAAAATGTAAAAAATGAGCTTCATGCAAAATCGAAAAAGTGTGCTCCTAATATGAGATACTCAAAGAAATCGCTAATAAAATGCAAAATACATCGGTATTGCAATTAGAAAACTTTATTTAATGTCTCTGAAATAGTGAAATACAAATGTAATGGAGAAGCTTATTTGCAATAATCACAAACCCACCCACTTATACTCAATATTTCCAGCGCAGCCAGTGTGCGCTCAGCATGAGCATGCGATCACCATCAGCATACTGTTATAAGTTCGTATAAACCTTCCCTTAATTCTAACATAGTATTTTCCCTCTTTTTATTACCGTACAATAACCTTCATACTCTAGCAACGATCGTCACCTTGAATATTTCTATGACGGATCTCATGCTTGCGTTTTCGCGATCACCAAATCTATCCTCTACAATTAAGCAACTCAACATATCTTTGTATTTTCCTTTTAATACGACCTTACTCTATCGCTGCATACAGAACTCATTGTCAAATATTTATTTATTATATAATAAACAAGGTTCAAAGTCTCACCTTCATGGAACTTGATAACATCCAAATTCACAATTTCGATATTTGTAACGAGTGCATGCATGATCAAACAATGAATTTTCTACTAAATAGGTTTCACACCAAGGGCAATAAGTTTATGGTATAGAACCAACAAATAGAACTATTAGTTTAGCAGAAACCCCGCTATCGCATATTAGGAGCTTATCTCATAATAGGGGACTTTCCTCTATTAATTAAAGAAACTTCACGGTACAAATTACGTCTGCTTTTTAATTTCAATTTATTATTTTGCGTTCGACAAATCATTCCCTGTACAATTCAAGTGCAGTCTTGACGAACACGAGCTTCCCATTTGAAATTGCACAAGGATCACCAAATACGTCGCCACCGTACCGATCAGCTAATAATCAAAATTATTCATTAAAAAATTTAATTTATATTAGACTATCAAAACAACATTAAAAATATTCTCACCGAGTGAAGAAAACTGTTATCGAGCGTGAAATATCCGTTAGCTGTGAACTGTATCTTGCGATGTAGCAATTGAAGCGAAAATTCCTCGAGCTGCAACAGATCTATGATAAACGTCGTTACATTGAGTACCTTAAGAAAGTTTCACGTGACTTCGTGTCTTACCTCTGACTTTGTTTCTTTGCCGATCGCGCATCTTAAAAGACCATGTATCACATTGCCCGTTTTCCCTATCTAAAATAAATTTGTAATTGGAACAATGCCGCGCAATTTTGTAAAACATTCAGGATTTTATTTGTTAATAAAAAAATGTCTTTTGATTAAAACAATTCGATCAAAATATGATATAAACTCGAGCTTGTTATTATACTGATTATCCTACCTCGTTCAAAATCTTGGTAGTTCTGTTGGTGAGGAGAGAAATGGGATAAATCAGGAATATTAACCAGATGAAGGTATTACTAAGAGTCTCGTACTCTAAGATATTATCGGTCATCAACAGAGGCGAAAAAAGATAGTAGCCGTTATATATGAGTGTCAGAAAGAGAAAAGTAAAGCCGAACAATACTGGTAGTGAATAGAAGTCCGACACGTCCTCGGAGATCTCGCAAAGATGACAGTGCATATCTCGTAGTTGCAGCAGTTGATGAACCGTGGAATTGCTGAATACAACACGACGCGTTTGATAGAGAGATTGCGGTCGAAGATCAGGTGTGCCGACCCTGGTGAGACTCTGTATCGCTTGATTCACGTCAGCGAAATCGGCTTGTATGATCGTGACCAACAAGAAGTACTGTATCAACAGCCAACCTACGTGAAATGTCGGCAGAATGTCCGACAGCCAGGAGACCGGGCCTGTGTGGAAGGCCAGGATCTCGGTGGTCAGAAGAAGAATCAGCAAGCAAACCTTTAAGATGCAGACGATGATCATAGCACAGAAGATATGCTGTCGTCGCAGCGGTTGATACAGATGATACAGACAATCCATTTCGTGCTCGACGTCCATTAATCGATTAGCGATCCGCACCAGGGACTTCTGATCGATGCAATAGATGAATAAAATCGTGCAGATCACTAGAGAGCCAAGTACAGTTTGCAGAACCTCGATGCCTACAGTCAAGTTTGACTTATTTTCATATTCCAAATTGAGTCTGAATGGTATCGACAAATAGTTCGAAGCGATTATTAAGCTACTCAATATGACATTGTATACGATGCCAAATTCAGAGTACTGAAATGTGTATAACGATCTCTTCTTCCGCATGACGATATGATGAGCAAACGTGGCAAGACCGATGAGCTTGAAAAATATTATCGACATCTTAAGCATCCAAAATGAATTTTTATGTAACTCTGATTTTATTTTGATCACTTTCTGTTTACTAATTTTTTCTGCGGCGGGATTATCTTTATTTAAGTTTTTGAAGAAATTGTTAATTTTATAGGCATCCATGAAGATTGAATTCTCAACCGAATCAAAGACATTTTTGCAGCCACTATCTTCTTCCATAATTAAACTTGAAATTAATATCTATTTCTCTTCTTCATTATGTCTCGTCAACTTGTGCATATTCACATGCATTATTCCATAATGATTTATATCTTTTATATTTTAATTTGATTTCTTGTATAAAGTTTTTTTATGAGACATCCGTGCGTAAAGATTTTTTCAATTAACACACTTTTGTCAAAAAATTTCACACATGCGTTACGAATTGATAATATAAGAGTTTTATTTTATCGATATCTATCTTTCCAGTTGCTCTGAATCCAAATTAATTGCAATTTTTTGAACGTCATATAAATTACGATCAATTACGAGTCTGGTAAATCTACGTGCACTCGAGTCTGTTGCGCTTTATTCTTACGAAGTGACACTGAGCATACGCAGCAATGCTTCCGCAAATGGCAAACATTATAAATGCAAAACATTATTAATTATTAAGTTCGTGAAAGTCATAAACGTGTGATAAAGAACAAAGTCGATATTTCAGCTCTATATCAGCCGACACAGATCCTACGATAAATATAGTCGGTTGCTAGTGCATATGATGTATCGCTAGTGAATGGAATATTTATTGCCTGTACATATGACACGAAGCATACGTACGATAAGAATAAAGAATACGTTCTCTATATTTTTTCTACCTGTAATGTTAGATTATCACGCTAATTAATAGACATAACTCAAAATAGCATTTCCTCACAATTGCATTATATATAGTTAACAATATCAACGTTATGTCATCGTCATTTAGTGTAATTTCTTATAAATTATGTAAAAATATTTTAGCATTAAATATATAAGTTCTTCCACTTCAGGGGAGTTCCCATTAAAATAATAAAACTATACATTTTTATATACACGTTTTCCTGCATAAAATATTTCTTTTATCGTCAAAGAGAACTTTACCTCGTGATTTATCCGTCTAAAGTCATCTGTATAAGTTATCATAAAAAGTTAAAAATCTTTTGTATATAATTTACATTGTTAATTTAAATAGATCTTTTAAAAAATTAGATGTTTTTCTTTCTAATTTAATTTATAGCTAATTAGTTTTTCTCACTATTAGATTAGATATACTTTTTCCATTTATATTCATGATTTAAATAAAAGCATTTTTTAGGTATTTATGTTTTTCTTGTAGAATAATTTTATAACTAATATCTATCTAAAGTTTCTAGACTATCCATCAAATCTACTATTTATCAAATTATACATTGTAGCAAGATACATTCAAGTTCAGATTATATACTTATCTATTCTACAGTATCTGCTTAATGTGCAGGTTCATTACACATATTAAATCGAACATTTGCATCAGATCTTCCCGGTAATGTCAATTTCGCTGCGCGTGTACTTCGAGTGAGACACTACCGTGTCTCTTGACTACCGTGTTTCTTTAACAATATTTCAGCTTTTAAATGTTTCAAACATTATAAGCTAAACTAATTCCGTCAAAACTCTGAATTTATCGTACTAGCTGCAACAAAGTTATTAACTATATTACAAATTATTTGTATAATTAATTAATGAAACGTCTGAAAGTCCATTATTTATCCATCCTTAAGAAAGATATATATATGTAAAGCTGATACTTTCGTCCAATTGTTAATGTTTCTCGAAAATCATTGAGGTTTACAAATCGATAGCCAGAAATTCGCGTTTTATGTTAATTAATAATTTGATAACAATGTTTATTGTTAAATATATATTTAAACTGCCTAAACAACTTTTAATAAGTGCAGAATTTTACAACTTTGATAAAAATAAAATTAAAAATAAAATTAAAATAACTCCTTATTAGTATTTTTTTCTCCAAATTTTATGTAGAATAAATTTTAATATTACATTTTAATATTAATAATAGCATTTTATCTTTAGTATTGTGAAAAATTAAACTTTACAATTTAGTATTACATAACAAGATTTTACTAATCTTAAGCCCGCGTTAATCAGGACTTATTTATTTATCTATTTATTTAATTTAATATTAGTTTTTTAATTACCCATTTATGTATGCATTTTAAGATTTTTACATTAATGCCTTCATAAATAGTCCTAAGCAAAATTTTTTGCATATACCTACATATATATATAT